CTTCAACATGGAACTGTATTTCCCTTCGAGAGCATTACGACTCCAGTAAGCGCGATCAAAGTGAAAGAGAAGGATTACGAATATTGGCTGGACAAATGACACCCATAAATGCACCCTCCGCGGTGGAAGAAAGTTTCGAGGTGAATTCCTAAGGAAGACGTGGAAAAATAATAAGGAGAGCGGGTTTGTTGTACTTGCACGAAGTCGACGGCTGCTAAGGGATTTTTATCTGATCTGGCTTTCAAAATAATTCAGTTTCCATTTCGACCACAAGTCGCAATTTCGAACGTGTACGAGACATATATATGTACACGTGAACACGAGTGAAACGCGTGTTCAGGAATTTGTCCATATGTAAGAATAGAATTTCATACGAAATTTTGAAAAACAAGAACATGCTTCTCTGTTGTATCACAAACGTGTTTACGTATGCGTGTGCCTATGACGATTATATAGTAAATGCCACCTTAATCGAGATCGAGATTTTTTCGTCTTTGCTTTCGATAGCTCAAAGTCTTGGAACATTTTTATTTTTAATATTCGACATTTATTTATTGAAGGCAGTCAAATTTTTAGGTTGCTTGTGCATTTTATAATGCAATAATTGTTCATATATCAATACTTAACAGATTCCCTCTTGCGTAAAGTGTATCTGTGAAACAGTTTTCTAGTTTCAACGATGCGTTGACATCGAAAACGTCGTGTTCGTCGGCCGTGAATCGCCAGAAACAAGAGCGACAGCTACGGAAAGAGGAAAAGACGATTAGGCGAGCGAAACCGAAGGAAGAAAAAAATCACGCGGCCTTCAACGATGCTGGGATTCGAGTTGATTACACGTATTGAGCCACATCCAGCCGTCGGAGCATGAAGCAGAATGAAACGAGGGGTGACGTTGCTCGAGCTGGCCAAAATGTTCGCGAGGAACATAGCCGAGGGTCGATTAAAATGCAAACAAAACACGCCCGGTGAATCCAAGCGCCCGGAGAAGGAGGTCTTCGAGACGACGCGGCAGGCAGAAATGTTATCGTTCTTTCTCCGTCTGCTTTGGGGGAGGAGGGTGGCTACAAGAATGCCTGTGGTGCATAGCGTAAGAAGATGGAGAGGAGACGAAAGGGTGAGCCGAGGAACAAAGGAAGACAGAAGTACTCCTATCTCGACACGAAACAAAAAAAAAAAAAGGAAGAAAGAAAGAAAGAAAGAAGAAAGTAAAAAAAGAGTCTGAAAAAAAGGAGGAAAGAAAGAGAAAAAGAAAGATCGTATATACATACGTATATATATATATATATAAGTACGTATAGCCGCGTACCTGTTCCATTCTCTTCTCTTTGTCTTTAAGAGAATATTCCGCCTCCCATCCGTTTTTCTAGTCCCTTTCTCTCTCTTTCTCTCTCTCTCTTTGTCTCCCGTTTTTGCATACCCACCGGTAAGGAAGGGGTAGGAAGAAAGGAAGAGGGAGGAAAGTGAAGGTGGGTGCGTCAATGTCGAGGAGAGAAAGAGATAGTAGAGGGGTGGAAATTCTGGGTAGCTGCCAGATGGCGCATTGCGCTTTAGAAACTCGCCCCTCGAGTTTCTAACGTTTGCTGCCAAACACCGAAATTCTCTGACCCTCTCTCTCTCTTTCTCTCTCTCTCTCTCTCTCTCTCTCTCTTTCTCTCTCGCGCCAGGGTGTGTGTATGCGTGTATACGTGCATCTTCACGCGTGTCTGTCTTTATTCGTCCGTTGTTCGGTATATCTTCGTAACCCAGGAGGTTGCGCGCGGGGCTTTTAGGGTTTCCGAAAATCCGGGGCACGAGTGCTGGTTGTAGCTCCGCTCGAAGCCCTAAATTTCTCTGCGGACTCGCGCCGATTAACGACACCCAGGTTCGCGTCCTAAGCTGAAATCCGTCCGGATAATCGGCCCAGAGACGCGTGACAATAATCGACAGTATTCTCAGACTCGGAGAGAAAGAGAGGAGGGGTGTAAGGTTACAGCCTCGAGGCGGAATCGATACGCGTAATTACATGTATCATTCTTTTCGTCCGTAGATCGTTCATCGATCCGTCTTAAATAGGACGTCCAAAGTGTGTTGCTTATTCAGACAATGAATGGAGCAAGTTTCTGAATGCGATCGTTCGTTGGTCTTGAATTCTCCGTGGTGGGTTATCCGAGTCGTGTTCGGAATAACACGCACGCGACAAACGAAGTCGCGTTTAATATCGATACGAAAATTAGCGGTATTACTCGTGTCTTGTTGGAAAATTGGAAACAGATACGGGCGGTCGCACGCGAGCGTGAAGGAGCAGTAGATCTTGGAAATAGCACACTCTCTGCACGTGATGTATACACTTCAATCGTGCTGCTATATACGCGTATATATGTATATATATAGCGTTCTCTATCAATGTCTATACGCTAGTATGCCTAAACCATTCACTGAGAGACTAGCTGCGTAATTATACCTTGACAGCTAATTTCAATTACAAATAATTGTATGCTTCGCCGTTCGCGATGAATTTGTCCTCGAATTAATTCGCTAACACAGCCTGTCATTGAAATTTTCAAATTTCTGTTCATCTTGTGGTTTTATACTTGTTTATACTATTTTATAACTCTCATAGAAAGTCTATTTATATATCCTGAATCTTTACGCAAGTTTGTCATACATACATTAATGTTCAAAACTCGACGATCGCTTAATTTTACTTTTCATTTAAAGATCAATAAAACAGCGAAAGAAACATCGTACATTAAATTTTATGCGATTGCTGAGAAACAGGAAAATTTCGATTTTTAAATCCATAGATGGTTTTATCGTTAGAAAAATTTTTCAATATCCGCAAATACTATTTGAATTTATAAAACGTTGAGAAGTAAAAGTACATTCACTTTTTTACTAATGGCATAACGTATAAAACTCGTATTAAAAAATAACTGTGAAATTTCACGCTACAAAATCAGCCCAAGAAGAATATTATACGATTATTTTCCATCAAATTGCAACAGTTTGAATACAGGCGATTTTTCACTGAAAATTAAATAATACTTTAATTTTGGACATTAGTGTGTTATTACAAAAATTTTCAAGCTGAATGTTTTAAATTTTATCAGCTACTGCATCTTATTGAATCGATCATTCATAAGCTATAACTATTAAAATGTTAATTTTTTTCTTTGTCTGTGATTCGTCGTCAGTCAATTTCAGTAGTGCAGGCCATCTATTGGCGGGACTGACACCTAGCAGCAGTCACAAATTCAATTCCTATAGCATATAAAATTGTAACTATTACAATAGATCAGTATTAAGTTTTGCGATCTTCTTGCCCTTGATATCCGTCGTCAGTTGGTTTCAGTAGTATAGGTCACCCATTTGGCGCGGTTGGCACCGTACCTCGTTTTCTACTGGCGGCTTGTCGTGAATTGAATACGTAAAAAATGAATTCCCATGGCGTGTAAAATTGAAGCAACTATTAGCAGTAAGATCAATATCAATCCTTGCGATTTCTCTTGGCCGCGACATCCATCGTCCGTCGGTTTCAGTAGTATAGGTCACGTATTTGGCGCGGCTGGCACCGTATGTCATCCTCTACTACCGCCGGTAACCATGAATTCCCATAGCAATCTACAAGGTGAACGAGAAGTAATGCGCGAGCTGACAGTTTATCGGTGATCCTGATCTTGACTCGGCGCTCGGAAACTTTTCTCGATCAAGCGATCCGCTTTAACGGGTCTCCCGAGATAAATCGTTCGCTTCTGTCATTCTTGCTTCTTTCTCCTTTTCCTTTTTTCTTCCTCCCCCCTCCCTTTCTCTCTTTCGTTTTGCTCTTTTTAAGTATTTCGATGGATGTCGTTGCGAGGGATTAACTCAACTAAACTTCCTGTCGCATTGTTCCTTTCGGTGGCAGTAGAACAGATGTCGCGTGCGCGTTTCGTTTTCACTCTCCTCTCTCTACTACCCCTTCAACGATTTAACGATTCGAACGAACAGCGTCGTCTGGCTACGACTTTTACGAGAAATAAAAGCATCGCCTTTGTACCGTCATCACCTGGGCATCGACGCGAGATTTCATTTCAGATGCAAAGTAATTTACACGATCCGGGACCAAGTCTGTTTACGAGGGTCGGCTAAAATGGCCGTCGAGGAAATGAGGAAGAAACGACCACGAGAATGAAACACACTATCGTTCGTAGGTATTTGGACATGCCTCTAAGTATATTTCAAATGAAATCATCACGAGAAGAATTTTTAACTTTGATCTTTGATCTTTCATATCTTAGACAAACCATATATTGTATAATATATATATAATATAATATATATACAATATACAATATATACATAAAATATATTATATATAATATATGTAAAATATAATATATAATGTATAATTAGATTGATCATCGAAATATTAAATATTGAAATATTAATGAATTGGGATTCTATTGAAATATTAATACTTTCGTTACATTTTCAACTTCTGTAATGGAAGAGAACATTATCAGTCTTTCATTTCTTACAATTACCAAATGATCTGTTAAATCTTCTTTCAATTTGAAGAAAGGGGTGATGCTTCTTCTTCATCTTCACAATCTTTAACATCTTTTTCCTTTGAGATTTAAATTGAAATATACTTGCACTCTAATTTGAGATATATTATCAAGTTAGTACTGCATATCGTTATTTGAAATAAGATCGGAGATCAAAATTAGATTAACGAGTCTTGTTCGAAGTATATTTTGTATATCCAAATGCTTGTAGACGTTACTATACATGTGCGTGCCGTTCGCGTCTAGCATTGCTCAAATCGATAAAATGGATCGATCAACGTTGAAAAGGTGAGACACGGCCGAGACGCGGATCGTTTACACGGGAGAAAAATAACGTCGAGCGTCGATCGCTTCGACGATCTTCGGCTTAGCGAAGTAACAGCGTCTTGCAGTTGTTAGTAGGTCACCCGTTAGGTGGATTTAATATGGCTTAGGAGCGCGTGGAATGCCAAGCCCGCCGCATTCTCCACTTACCCTCCTTCGTGCTTCCTTCCTCCATCCTTTTTCCTTCGTCTACAGGCCGAACGTACAAGACTGTATGGCAACTCTGGAAAAGAGGGAGGAAATTGTGCGAGAGAAGAGGAGACGCGTCAAGAGAAATGCAAAGAAAAAAGAGGAGAGACTATATATATAAATATTAGGGTCCTATATGTATAATACTTACAAACTTGAGCATCAAATTCGATATCCAAGTTTCGTTTCGTAGGTTTTGAACACTACTCGAAAGTGAGAATCATCGAATTTGCAATGTATTCCATACAAGTCAATGTATACATTTTACTGTAGTCTAAGTTTAACTTAGATCATCAAGAGCATCTTGGACAAGTCATTTATCAAGTAAATTTTTCAAAGGATCAAGTTCGATATTTAGTCTATGTTCGCGGGTTTCGAATATTACTTGAAAGTGGAAATGTTTTCAACGAGCACGTTCGCGACATATTCACTCTATAGAAGAATTTATACTGATACGATGGAAGCTGTTCCCTGGTTTTTATCACGCTGAAAATTCATCTGTAACGTTCAATATTTTCCTTGAACAATGTATTATCAATCAGTTTTCCAGTCATTGTCTTCTTCGTTAATCGCAGTGCATGTTTGAAATGATTTTAACAAAATGAAAGGTAGAGGAAACTAAACGACAAATAGAAGAATGAAAATTTGTAATGCGTCACTGTAATTAGGTGAAATCTCAAAGGAAGGTTTTAAGAATAGTAAATAAAGATCTTAAATTTACTCAGTGCTACTCAGTTCTATCTTTAATATATGCAGAAAGAGGAAGGCAGGGGGAACAGAAGAAGAGTCTCTCCCTTCGTATTATTGCTTCATTTTCTCTTTCATGTGCCCGTGTAAACTGTTGTACGTAAAGAGAGTACGTATGTGCGTGTAATTTGTGTGTTTGATTGTGTCTCTGTGTTTGTCGTATCGAAGGAAAAGGACAGGACAAAGAAAGATAGAGAGGTTAAAGATCTCTCTTGAGAGAAAGAGAAAGAGCATCAACCACAGCTATGCATATATGCAACTGCGGCGCAATAGAACGAACTTCGTTCCTACCTGATGCTGAAAATAACAGAGTCTTCGTCTAGATTCAAAGAAAATAGAAATTGATTGTTCTCGACGTTGATGGTTCATGGAATATCTCTAGAAAATTCTGCGCCTCTCCAGAGATCGCGAGGAAGGATGGAACGAATCTGAGGAGAGGTCCTTCGGTTTGGGAATCTTCGTCGACACGCGACCAATCGCGACCTTTCGCGCGGGCCTGAGAAAAATAGCTGAAAGTCTCGGCTCGACGATACGTGCAGACGAAAGAAAGGTCGACTCGAAGAATGTCAGCTGGGATCGCGTGAACGGAAGAGCAACAAGATTCTATTTTTTCCACGTTGGTGAATTGTTTCTTCCTCGGTCGAAGATACTTCTTTTTCCTTTTTTCTCTCCTACGTAATCTATAGGATTACGTCTATCCTTTTTTCTTCTTTCTCCTAGACGAGACATAGTACATTATCTGTGAGGGCACGATTCGTAAAACTACGTTCACGAGAATGAAAGGAACGAAGGTACGAAAGTGACAGGCGAGAACGGAAGGGTACGATTCTGGGGAGTTTCATCCGCATCTTCATGAAGAATGTAACGAGGATCTCTTTCAAAAACCGACGCTCGCTCGACGCACGCTGTCGTCGCACGTTTCATCGAATATCCAACGAGAAAGAAAATGGGATCTTGCCTCACGCGTGAGCGCGTCGCGCAATTGAATGGGAATTATTTCGAGTAGAAAGAAAGAAAAAAAAAAGAAGAAAGAAAAGACGAAATTAATTTCCTAAAAAATTGATCTTCACTCATTTGTACGTTGATCCTACGTTTCGACGTAATGAACGAAGCCCCATGTTTGCCAATAATGCCAAGTTTATAGAACACGGCCGCGAATTAATATCCTGTCTGTGCAGTGGCAAGACTCGATAAACCTTCGTTATGAAACAATTATATTGGTCCAGTGTGGTGTTCGGGGATTCGCTGGTAACTTAGTAATTAGTGACGGAACTGTGCACATGAATATGCTTAATTTACCAGGTACGTTGTGTTTATAAATTCCCTGGCACGTCGCACGACTATTTAACAGCGATTAATAAATTCATCGAACGCAGGGCCCGCCGGTAATATTCGATTAAATTTACACGCGGTTTCAGAATTGGTATCCATCGTGGCGTTCCCATTTCTATTCGAGTTGTAAATATCATTTTATTTCTGATCTCACTGGGAATAGAGCTCTTCTAAAACGAAAATAGATTTTAGCATGACAGCTCTATGAAAAGCATATCTTATGATTGTCAGAGAATTTAGATTTGCTGTGTGACCGGTAAAATCGTTCGTTTTCAATTCCTTGATTTTTGGATTGAATTTAGTACGAATTTGGTTGAATTACAGCAAATTTTCAAGTTGAGTCGACAATTAATTTCCGAGATCAACTGCTTTCGTAAACATTTTACTGTAGAAAATTCGCACAGAATTCACTTGCAATCGTGGTATAAATGTAACTTTTACAAATGATCTCTTTTCGAAAAAGAGAAACTTTCTCTCAATCGTATGAGAAAGCAATCGAAATGAAAATTCTCAAAGTTTCAGTCGTTGTGTCGCGTGCAAAGCGGTTACGAGTACGTGCATACATACATACGTGTCCTTGGATTCATTGGTCGAAATACGAAATAAACCTGGCTTGCTCAATTAATCTGATCCCTCCGCAATCAGCCGTATAGACCGATTGAGTTAATTCGTCACGGTTCAGCAACAATACTCGGTACGCAGTCGCAAGTCGCGAATTGAATCAGTCGAGCGTAAATGACGAGACGCATCGGGAAATGAATCAAGGATAATACGACCCTGACCTCTTATGGGGCTGGAAAGAGTTTCAAGGGCGTATTAACGGGAAGTGGTAACGAATGTTCGGTGCATGTACTAATTTCCGGGTTAATCAAACTCAGTTCCGACCTCTGACGCGGCTAGTTTCCACAAAAGGAGGATGTTGCGGACGATCGATAGGGAACATTACCGCCGTACAAAACCTGCCTTTAACACGGTTCTTATCGGATCGTTTCGTCGTGCACGAGGGAATGTTGTTCCCTTCACGTTGGAGATCGTCTTTCAACCAAATTTTTCGCGTCGTAAATGAAAATGACGACTCGGAAGTCGAGAGGGTCTGTTTTCCACCGGCGAAGCGGGAAACTGCTTTTAAATGTAATTGGACATTGTTTCTGCGAGTAAAAGGGACAATGTGAGTAAAGCAATTCAAAGTGATATACTTTCTAGCTTGTTAATGTGTCAGTTGTTCGTGATGATATAGAGACTAAAAGAAATGTTAATTAAAACGCTAATTAATTAAAATGTTATGTGTAGCAGATTTCGTATCAAAAGTATATTTTCATGTGGTTACAAAATTTCAGTACTATGAAAATGAAACGTAAGAATTTGATTGAAAAACGTTACAAAACATCAAAATGGCATGTGTAAATGTGTTCTGTAGCTGGGATACAATTGGGACTGCAGTTGGGATAAAATTTATAATAGGAAATATACATGTATCATCACTAGAATTCACATAAGAAATACACGTGTCATCATAAACGGAAAAGACAACATATATATAATTGTTTCTACAGACTAAATTATAAAGGTGGATGAAGTAATAACTTGAAAATTATGCTTTTTAAAAACTATCGATTACCCATAGTTAAAAAGATGCATTCGGTAAATTGAAATGGAAGCTCAAAAATTATCAGTGTCAACTTCTGTGACACTCTGAGTGTCATAAGGAATGAAAGTAACCTAACGATTGTGCGTTTTAATTGTTTGGAGGCGTGTAAGTTGTGAAAATGGAAACAACCTTTGTGGAAATTGGTAATTTTAGAAGGTGAAAGGTGAAACGCAGACGTTTGGAAAACGTAGGGAAAAAGGAACCAGGGAGGATTTCTGGTTTAATTAATTAAATTCGTGTCGTCGGAGGAAAGACAACGCGCAAGCAGCAGTACATTTGTCAAAGGCAGGTTCAACGTGTGCTGAACGTAGGATGAAACATAATGAAAAATGAGCCTAACCTTTGATATGGCGGCTGTGTGGCTATCTGTCTGTTGCTATCCGCACGTTTACAAACGCGTCCCACTCGTTGCGCAACGACCCGGGAAGGATAAATTTAATAAGTATAAATATACGGGCGGAGTTGATGTAACGAAGGTAATGAGGATCGATGAGGAGGGACAAAACGAACGCGCGAAATCAAAATATCAAAATATTATTTCACAATAATCGTAATCTCAGCGATGATATTACGAGTTTCGATGGAAACTTAAATTGCTATATACGAATGGGGACGTAGGTTGAAAGTGGTCAGAGATGTACAAACTTTCATTAAAATGTCATGCTATAATTATTGAGGGATGAAGTAATGTCGTCACGTTCTAGCTTTCCTCCCTTCCGATTTCTCCTTCTTTTTGTTCTTAATCAAAGTGTTACAGCAGCTAGTTAGTGTTTGCAGCAAGAAAGTTTGGTCTCGAGTCATAAAATAGAAGATTTCGTCTAGAGAAGTCCCTATTTCATAATACATGCACGTATGTATAACTGATATAATGATTATTGGTTATCAGATTTTTGATTGAAGTAAATAATTATGATTAACCTTCTGTAATGTTATAGAGAAAGAAGAGAAGAATGTTCTCAATGAATCGTAACTAGCATATTCTTTTTTTTTTATATGCAATGTTCAACTTTTGGCAATTATCGTTAAAAATTATTCATTCAATAGGGAGAGTCTCTCAACTAAAAGACATGTACTAAATTATTAAACATTAAATTAAAATACGTGTATAATATATAAAGACATATAACTAAACGTATAATATTAAAGGGATGTAATAGAAGAGGATTCTTTAATTCCTTAATTCCTTAAAAGTTTCTACTTTTGTTTCTATAGAGGATTACACATATACGTGCAATGGTTCATGTCACGATTGTTTCGTCTAGCAAAGGTAAACTCCACAAGCAAGTTTGTCGCGCAAGTTTTCACGG